ATTCTTACACTTGCCACCAGCAGCTCTTCATCCTTGTCATTTTCCGGGTCAGAAATGGAGGAAGGCAGGTGGCATCACCTAGCTATTGTGCATAGCAAACCGAATGCTTTGGCTGGCCTCTTCCAGTCGAGCATTGCGTATGTATACCTTAACGGGAAACTAAGACACACTGGGAGACTGGGATACTCCCCATCTCCACCGGGAAAGTCTCTGCAGGTAATCATTGGAACACCTGTTACATGTGCAAGGGTTAGTGACTTGTCCTGGAAACTTAGGTCCTGCTATCTATTTGAAGAGGTTCTTTCCCCTGGATCTATCTGTTTCATGTACGTCCTTGGTAGAGGATATAGGGGGCTATTCCAGGACACTGATTTGTTGCAATTTGTTCCTAATCAAGCCTGTGGTGGTGGCAGTATGGCCATTTTAGATTCTTTGGAGACTGACATGCCTTTGACGTCCACAACACAGAAGATTGACAATGCTGGCAAGCAAAGGAGTTCCAATGCTGATCGAAGTGGTATTGTTTGGGATTTTGAAAAATTAGGAATCCTTTCGCTCCAGCTTTCTGGCAAAAAGCTCATATTTTCCTTCGAAGGAACAAGCACAGAAGTTCAACGAGCTTCTGGAACTCTGTCTGCGCTCAATCTAGTTGATCCTATGTCGGCTTCTGCATCTCCTATTGGTGGTGAGCAATTATTATATTCATTTACAACAAAGTTGGAAGTACCCCACTCTTCCACCAAGAAGGGGTTTAGTATTTTTAAATGAACCGTTTTTTAGGAACACGGAAACATATTTTGTGTATTGTTAAAGAGTTCGTGATAAGTACCAATTTAATAAGGTGTGAGACGACCCAAAATGACATACTCTTATAGCCTACTTGGCGCTTGAGTATTTGCTTGGAAAACCTTTTGTTTTTGTTTCAATTGAAAGAAGTCAAGGGTATTTTAAAAAAAGGGCCTTTGACCTTTGACAATTAAAGTTATCCTATTGATGCCCTATTCATGCTGGTTCAAAAATGTTAAGCACACCATATGCGGCATACTTATTGATAGAGTACTAAGATCTGCCCTTGCTTGCAATATCACTTTGACTTTCAAGTAGAATCGGTCCTTTTGAATATGATATGCAAACTGGAGTTAATATTATATGTTTTTTCTTGATATTTCAAAGGAATCCCCCGTTTTGGACGACTAATCGGTGATGTCCATATATGTAAACGGTGCGTCATTGGAGAGACAATTCGCCCAATTGGTGGCATTGCTGTTGTTCTAGCTCTTGTTGAAGCTGCTGAGACTAGGGACATGCTACATATGGCTTTGATGCTACTTGCATGTACACTTAAACAAAATCCTCAGAATGCTAGAGATATGCAGCAATTTAGAGGATACCATCTGCTTGCTCTATTCGTGCACAGAAGGATGTCATTGTTTGACATGCAGTCACTTGAGATATTTTTCCAAATTGCTGCTTGTGAGGCATCTTTCTCTGAACCCAAAAAGTTGGGTACTACTCAGAAAATTATACCAACTACACCAACCATTAGTGAAGGCGACACGGATGACCTAAACCTATCAAAATTTAGGGAAGAATTTTCTTCAGTTGGATCTCAAGGAGATGCAGACGATTTTTCTGCACAAAAGGATTCATTCAGTCACATTTCAGAGCTTGA